CCGTAGATAGCAATAGTGTAATTTCTTATCACATCGGCGACGGCGTCCTCTCGCGTACAGATCACGGTACGCAGCGAAGGTACCGCGCGCGCCTCAAAGAGTCATTATTCCACCACAGATAGGGCCCAATAGAGCTGACGCCGATATGGAGCCTTGGAAGACTTAACGGGTTACCGGGGCTCCGGCTCGAAGTGCAGTAGCACCGGAACGGGGTGGTTTTTAGTCAGTAAGAGTCTTACACTCCCTCTAGCCTCACCCGGGCGGGAGAAGTCATTAGATGATTTTCCCCCTCAAAAAAGTCCCTTATCACATGGGACCTTTTAGTGGGTGTTACACGATATATGTATCTCTGTCTCATTCTTTAGGGGATAAAAGGAGTTATTAGCCGACTTCAAAAAGAAATATGGCAATAGGCTCATCCCCTATTACATGGGACTCATAACATAAATAGTGAAAAGTGGGTGTTACATTGCACAGTGGCATAATGTGCACCTCTGTCTACCCCTTTGGGGATAAAAGGCGTGATGTTATGTTATGTTTTTATAATAACGATCGTGAGACATACTAAATTAACTAAAAATCGGGGGTTACTCACGTGACGTCGCGCAACTCACTCGAGCGAGCCGCGACCGCGCACGCTGCTCATGAGGAAGAACCCTCTGTGGTTCGAAACTAGTAGAGCTTTTCTCAGTATATTCACGTGAGTAACCCGCGATTTTAGTTAATTCTTTAAACGATTTTATAAAATAATCATTTTGCTTAATATAAATGTGGCAATATATTATTCTAGATCGTCTAATGGTCTAGATACTAATTGAAAGTAGGTTCTAACCCAGTTAAGTTAAAGATTTGTGTCAATAGCAACGGGTGCCAAAGATTCAATCAGTTAATTTTTAACTGTGGCGTGCTACACTCGTTTCGGACTAAACTAAAGGTAAATTTAATGTATTTTATGTGGTTTTACACTATACAGGATGCATCTTGCGTCGAGCGTGCGTTTACAAATAGATTTACATGCAAATACCCTAACTAGAAATTATCTTGGATTCCGTCTCCTTTTGCGAAGCAGTCATGCTAGCTAAGGAGGAGGCGGGGCGCGTGAGTAAACGAAGGACACTCCGGGCGTCGGGGATCGCGAGACAATCTCCGGCCACCGTAAGCGCGGGCCTGCGGACGGCGAGCATGGGTGGCTCGCCGCCTGACCAGATCCAGACCCGAGCGTACGGTGCGTCGCGTCGGATGGGGCCCAGTAGGGCTGATGCCGATACGGAGCCGCGGAGAACCTAACGGGTTACCGGGGCTCCGGCTCGAAGTGCATGTATAGGAACGGGGTGGTTTTTAGTCAGTAAGAGTCTGACACTCCCTCCCGCCTCACCCAGGCGGGAGAAATAATTCGATGATTTTCGTCTCTTAAAGAAACTAGAAACTATCATAATGTTGACATGGACTATCCAACACAAATAGAATTCAATTGGAACCTGTAGTTTTGGAGATTAGTGCCTTCTTATCTGTGGATTGTAAAGAGTTATTTCGTGTGGCCATGTGGGTATTGAAACCACGATATGTTCTGCACTGCCTCGTTGGCCAAGTGGTCTCAATAGGGTAGATGCCTAATTTTTATTTTAATGTCCGTCTGGTAGATCATTTTAAATCATTAGACACGTATTTTTTATTTTATTGCAAATACGAATACTTTCGACGATATATTGATTTGAAATGTCGCGTGACGTCACTTCTATGTACATTTTATACGTAGAAATGACGTTTTAGCCCCTACTCCTAAACTTTGATTCGTTTTATCTAAGTATTGTTTTATTATACGACAAAATAAAAAAATACGTGTCTAATATTTTTCCATTACCAAACTGACGGACTAATTAGATTTTTGATTGTCATACCCTGTTACCATCTCAATTGCGACTGCCAGGCAAGGGGTCTCAGGTTCGATTCCTGGGTCGGGCAAAGTATTACTGGGTTTTTAAAAATTCTCATTGGTAGTACGGAGTCTGGAATTGTGCCCGGTATATGGCAATAGGCTCACCCCCTACTACATGGGACTCATAACATAAATAGTGAAAACTTGGTGTTACATAGTACAGTGGTATTAAGTGCCGTAAATGTGCACCTCTGCGTACCCCTTCGGGGATAAAAAGCGTGATATGATGTTGTTATGTTTATATCATCATTGGAATCAGTACCTACCTATCAGGAAAATAATCGACGGAGATTGTACGGTTATTTGGAAAATTCAACTGTTTTATTATATTTGATGGGCCGACGTTAGCACACTATCTCGCCTGGTGGTGCACGATGATGTGGTCTACGATGGAGCACGTCGTCCCATAAGCAACCTATTCACTCGGGCCTTGAAGACACCCAGGTTATACCCTTCAGGAAATTACAGACTCTGGCAAACAATTCCACACCTTAGCAGTACGCACACGGAAGCTTGATCCGAAGCGCTTTGTGCGTGTGGGTGGGACATCTACCATGAATTGGTAAATCGGTGAATCGGTGTTTGCTCTACACACCGATTTAACTGTTGAGTACCGTCATTATAGACACAATTAAAGAACAATAGGTTGCGGTCACCGGTGTCTTCGCGGTGTTTGATAGTTTAAATATATACGTACAGTTCAACTGTACAGTTAGATCATAAGGTTTTTAGATCATCAACTTTGAGATAGGCCATTGAAATAATAATAAATAATTGTAAACAAAAAATAATATGATCAACAACTATAATTCATATACTTTCTAATAGATGGCGTTAGACGTCCGTTTATCTCGTGATGTGGACGAACCATGGGGGTTCCAGATCTTCGGCGGAGCTGATGAAGAGATGCCTTTGACGATACAACAGGTGAGGCACATTATTTTTCTTTATGAATAATGGAGTGTCGTGGTGGCCCAGAGGTCAAGACCTCCGTTTCTCATGCATGAGGGTGCGGGTTTGAAACCTACCTACCACTGTCACTTTTTTCCGAGTTATATGTACTTTCTAAGATTATCTAGACACCACTGACAAACGGTGAAGGAAAACATCGTGAGGAAACCTGGACTTATAGTTTCTAATTATAAGTTTGAAATCACCAACCCGCATTGAGCAAGCGTGGTAATTAATGCTCAAACCTTCTCCGTGTGAGAAGAGGCTTTGCTCAGCAGTGGACACTTAGAGGCTATTGATTAACCACAAGAAATCTCATGACCTTTTTCTTTATGGCATAAGCCGGTAAACGAGCAGACGCATCACCTGGTGGTAAGCAATCGGCGTCGCCTATAGACACACGGAACACTAGAGGCGTTACAAGTGCGTTACCGGCTTTTTGGAGATTAGGAATTTGAGATTTTTTTTTATCATTTTTTAGCAAATTTAACAAATTTATTCAGTGAAATTTTACACAGGTGTGGCCTTAAATCTAAACTCGCCAAACTTTGAGGTTTGATGGCGAGAGACGCTCATTAGACAATCAATTCAATTATAATAAAACCATCAAAAATTGTTCAGATTGCGACCTGCTTCAGATCGATCTTAATGCTTTAACGAATTGGTGTACTATTAATAAAATGACATTCAACACTGATAAATGCTACTCCATTACGTTTACCCGAAATCATGGCATTATTGAAACTCCATATCATATAAATAACATAGTCCTCCAAAAAAAAACCGAAATGAGAGATTTAGGCGTAATACTTGACTCTAAATTACCATCATCAAAAATGTTGGGTTTTATCATTGGAAACACTAAATCATTTCGCATGCCCACTACTAAAATAGCTCTTTATAATAGTTATGTTCGTAGTAACCTTGAATATTGCAGTGTTGTATGGTCACCAGAATACAATGTTCACCAACTTCGAATCGAACGGATTCAGAAGAGATTTTTAAGACACCTCGCCTTCTCATTCGGCTTACACAAGCAGATAAGGTCATACGGGGACAAATTGAGGCATTTTAAGATGGAAAGTGAAAGTCTGTCAATTCGGAGACGCTTACTAGACTTGACATTTCTGTATAAGGTTTTGAGATACGGAATTTTAGGAATAGTCGGTTTACGTGTGCCATCTCGTGTCCCTAGAAAAGCGACGCTCAGGGCTGGGTTATTGCATCGACCGCCTGCCAGAACCAACTTGAAGGATTTTTCTGCTCTGTCTCGACTGTCGAAGTCCTATAACGAAATTTCTGGTCAGGTGGATATTTTTGCTGACACGCTACCGAATTTTAAAAAGGCTGTAGTGAGATTATTGTGTGACCATAATAATGCGTAGATTTTTAATATGTACTTAGATTTTTTATTTCAGTTTTTTATTTTATTTTATGTTTTAATTTAAATTTTAAGTATTTCTTAGTTTTTATTTTACTTTCCAATTATTACAAATACTGATAAAAGTGTCATCGTTAGACTACTGTGCATGTTGACACCTTAAAATGTTGTGCATTTAAAATTTATTACAATGTAAGTGCTTAGATATAAGACCTAATGTAGCAACTACTGGTTGTCCATATTATAAATAAATAAATAAATAATACGTAGGTAGGTGTAATTGCAATACGGAGGAGCCGCGAAAGGCCTAACGGGTTACCGGGGCTCCGGCTCGAAGTGCTGGAGTAGGAACGGGGTGGTTTTTAGTCAGTAATCGGCCTCGGCATCACTCCTGTTGAGCCGGACCATTTGTGCGCAGCTTGGCTCTTCCACACAAAATTCCGGAGGCCAAATTACCCTCCCCTTCTCCAACCTCCCCAATTCCTGAATCCCCAACGATCCTCAAATTTCTAATGTCCAAAAGGCCGGTAACCACTTGTAACGCCTCTGGTGTTCTAGATATCCATGGGCGACGCCGATTGCTTACCATCAGGTGATCCGTCTGCTCAAAGTCAAAGTCAAAGTCAAAATCATTTATTTCAATTAGACCAGGATGGCACTTTTGAACGTCAAACAACAAAAATTTATAAATGAAGCTAGTTGCTCAATTCAAGGTGTAGATTCCTATGGAGAAGAACGAGCAAGAAACTCCATAGGTTACTCTTTTTCAATCAGGTTTACAATACAATTCTCTAGTTACATAGTTTTATTGGTTCGATTATGTGAGAACAATGCAACACCTAAATCCAGTAAGAAAGACTGAAAAAGAAAATAACCTTGAGGATAATAAAGTAAAATGATACAGTCTGGAGCTGACCAGTTCCAATCGACGGTGCCCGTTCACGAACATTTGGCGAACCCTAGCACCACCCAACTCAACCATTTTGTAGGGAATCGAGCGATCCAATGCACGTGCCACCGCCAACGAGATCTTTGAGTGAGCATGACAACTCCAAGCTGACATAAATGCAATCTACTACTAGTCTAATTTGATTTAATTAATTACAGGGCTCTCACATTTACAATAAATTGTGCAACGTTTTAAACTATACAAATATTTAAGCAACATGATTATATTATTATTACACAAATAGAATTCATTGAACATCACTATGTTTCATGTATTGTCCTGCGGAGCCGGACCAACCTGCCTCCAAGTACTTTTATCCTCTATATAATCATTTAGTTTGTAGTATGCTTGTGTACATAACGTTTTTTTAATACATAGTTTAAATTTTCTTTCATTTAGATGCAGTATTTCTTGGGGGATTTTGTTATAACATTTAACACCGATTCCCATGAACGACTTATGTACTTTTGACAATCTAAAAAACGGCGGACTTAATCTATTCTTATGTCTAGTTTCATAATTGTGTCTGTCAGACACTTTACTAAATAAATGTAGGTTTTTCCTAACATACATAATATTTTCATAAATAAATTGACATGGAACGGTCATAATATTGATCTCCCTAAACCTTTCTCTGAGAGATTCGCGACGACCTAGGTTGTATATAGCTCTGACGGCGCGCTTCTGCAAGACAAAGATAGACTCAATGTCAGCAGCGTGTCCCCACAGCAGAATGCCATACGACATGATGCTCTGGAAGTAACTAAAGTACACCAGTCTTGCCGTGTCTATATCGGTTAACTGACGGATTTTCCAGACAGCATAAGCTGCAGAGCTTAATCGTCCCGCTAGAGATATAATATGAGGACCCCATTGTAATTTGTCGTCTACAGTAATTCCCAGGAAAATAGTCTCTTTTACAAATTCCAATTTGTCACTATTCAGTAATATGTCACATTCGTTATTTTTAACTTTTAGCAAAACAAATCTAATGCATCTAATGCTCGTTTACCGGGTTATCTCATAAGTATATTGTCCTTAGGGTTATTTTCTTTTTCTATCTCTGACTATATTCTGGTGTTGCATTGTTCTCATATAATAAAATTGAACGAACAAAAAAATAAAACAAATCTGTTTAACTGTAAATTGTTTTGTGAACCTCATTGCTTCCTGATTGGATAAGATTATGGCATGAAGTCCGCCTATGTATACCCATTGTGCAAAAGGTTTTAATAAAAAAATAAAAGAGTAACCTATGGAGTTTCTTGCTCGTTCTTCGACATAGGAATCAATACCTTGGAATGAGCAAATAACTTCACTTTTATTATTTTTTTTGTTGACGTTAAAAAGTGTCTTTATGGTCTAATTGAAATAAATGATTTTTTTTTTTAAGGGGGGAAAATCATCGAATGACTTTTCCCGCCTGGGTGAGGCAGGAGGGAGTGTCAGACTCTTACTGACTAAAAACCACCCCGTTCCTACTCCTGCACGTCGAGCCGGAGCCCCGGTTACCCGTTAGGTTCTCCGCGGCAAAGTCGCGGGGTAAAGCTAGTATAAGAAGTATTTACTCTCAACACTTCACATGTCACTCTCAGATTGACATTGGCTGCAAATAATTCGTACCTGCCAATTCACAATAGTTTGGCTGGGAGCCACATGCCCTTGTCCCGTTTCGAAACTAATCATTGGAAGTGATCTAATAGATATCAGTCTTCTATTGATTTGTGTAATTTATATGTAGGTAGACTAGCTGTGCCCGCGACTTCAAACTCAAACTCAAACTCAAAAGCATTTATTTCAATTAAACCATAATTTGGTACTTTTGAAACGTCAACAAATATGAAATAAATAATAGTCTGTCAGTCTGTCTGTCAGTGAAGCTAGGCTCGTTCCAAAATGTCGTTCTTCGTTCGCGTGGAATAGTGATTTACTGCGCTTACCCTGTAGGAGATTTTTTTTAAGTGGGGAAAATCATCGAATGCCTTCTCCCGCCTGGGTGAAGCGGCAGGGAGCGTCAGACTCTTACTGACTAAAAACCACCCCGTTCCTTCTCCTGCACGTCGAGCCGGAGCCCCGGTAAGCCGTTAGGTTCTCCGGGGTTATAAATTCAATACTTTTTTCGAACTGTCAAAAACGACAGTTTTCTATGAATTTTGTACGAGATTGTGTCGTGGCTCCCGTCATAGCCACTGCTCAAGTGAAAACATAATCTTAATTTGATAAAAATTGTCCAGTCACACCTATTTGTTCTTTTGCAAGTTTATATTTATTTCGGAGTACATAGGGAGTAGAGAAGAGGTGCACATTACGGCACTTAATGCCGCTGTACAATATAACACTCAGTTTTTAATCATTTATGTTACGACATAACATCACACCTTTCTTCCCCGAAGAGGTAGGCAGAGGTGCACATTACGGCACTTAATGCCACTGTACAATGTAACACCCACTTTTATATTAGGA